TTCTATTATTTCCTACAATTTACTGTGGGAAAACCAGAGTTGATAACCCCTTGATCATTTTCTAAACAACGTTCCCACGAGTTCTTTCTATAGACTGATAGTAATTATTCTAGTACTTTCCAACATGTAAATTGGACATTCAATGTCATTTTTGATTCTTTTAAGTCTCACTGCCTAACTAATGCCAGTATCAACAGAATGTGCCGCAGCATTACTATCTTTTAGATACCCTAGTCTGCTAAATAAGAACTATGGCGTGAATAACATTCAATGGAGCAAAAAGCTGTTTCAGGAAAGCTCCTGTTAGTATATTTGGAAGGTGTTTGCGGATTGAGTGTTAGATTCAGCAAATGTTCCGAACAAAACGTACCGTTCGACGCTTTGCTACGAAGACGACTTCAAAACAGCTCTTCTAAAGTCGTCGCCTCCTTGAGGACGACCCGCGAAATAATGCCATATCCGGTAACGCATGAGCATAAACTACTTCTAGTGTTGAGACGTCGTCGTCCTCTGGGAAGTCATCGATTTGTAAGCTCATTGTTACATAATATACATGTAGATATAGGATCATAAGGCCTACATTTTCATCGTGTAAACTTGAAGTTTGCGTTAGTTTTTGCGGATCCCTTAGGATTTCCTTTTTTCATTGCACCAGTGAATAATTAACTCGTTATGACCTTTTTCGTGTTAAATTCCTGTAAAGCAGCATAAGCTACGCTGTGCGCCCTATGTGGCTAATTTTCTAAGTATGCATACGTTGTAAACTGCTATAATAAAAAATAATGCTAATAATTATAAAAGTGAATTATAATTATCATAAAAATCTCCCAGAATCCTTGGTGGCGATTTTTTAAAAAGCTTTATAACTTTGACAATTTTATACGTAGAAGACTGTCAGACCACAACAAGATACCTTTTGCTATAAAATATCTTCCCGTGTGACAACTAAGGTAATGACGTTTCATTACCGAGTTGAAAACAAATAGCATATTTTGGGTTATAGTTTAGTGGGGCATTTAAAAATAACCAGTTCACTTCCTGCATTTAAAACTTAAGGGGGTAATGATCATGAGCGAAAACGTCGGGAGACTAGGAGGAGGGTTGTAGGGAGTCAACCTCTTCTATCACACGCTACAGAAAATTTGCTGGAAAGTAATGTTCTTCCTGACAATTTTTTTGATGACCAAAATAGGGACGCGACGGCATCAGTCAAGTGATCAAAGCGTTTTGAATTTTTCGTTCGTTCTTAAAGTCTTTTTTTGGCAAGTTTTTGCTGTTTTCTTAACAATTCTTACACTGTATTGTCTCGGAGTGATTATTATTACATTATCAAAGAAGAACCGAACGAAAACTGAGCCAGAAGTTTAAAACTCAAGTAGTTTAAGGCCTGGGACTAAGGCGTTGACTTGTGGAAAATGAATTTTTGGCTTTAACTTTGGCATAGATGATGCCGCGCTGAATCAAAATTCGGCACACATAAAAAAAAAGATCATCGTCCTTAACATTTTAAAGTATAAACATTGTGTTAGTAAGTCACGTGATATGTCACGTTACCATTTTGCTAAAAATCGTAAATTATTGACCAATTGATGGCCAGTTTAAGAAAAGAAATCGGAAAGAAAAATATTTTTTCTAATTAATATTAAGTATTTCTAACACTTCGCGTTTGAAATGACCGTCCATTGCAATTGTGGGAAAACATCATTTTAAATGCCCAAATTTAATCTTGAATTATTTTAAATTCTAATTTGAAACTTCGCGTACATTCACTCCAAACGTGGAAAGTTAGGTATGTTTATCCTCCTTCAGAAATACCAATTTGTTTATCGAAACAAAGTAAATTCGTCACTAATTCGCCAATTTCCTTCATTTTAAATTTTTGGTCACGTGACATGTCACGTGACCATAATTAAACGTTAAGGCATAAGAAAACCTCAAGATTTACTTTTGGGGAAACGTTCATTTTGTTCTACGTCCCAGGGTTAAGAATCAGCTGTTGTAGTCCATTTTACTTTCTTTTTGACATGATTTGTATGTCACTGGACTTGATTTTTATATCGAAAAGAGCGATCAATTTCCATCCATTCATTTCAATAAGAGTAAATGGAATCACTTTTCACTGTAGCGGACAACCTAGAACCGTGACTTCGTCGCACAAATATGCGGCACCGAAGAAAGACAAAAAAGCTAAGTTAAACCCTTTTTTGATCAAAAGGTTTAAACGAAACTCGAAGCTTAAAATGATTATAATTTATTTTTACCGTTATCACTTGTAATAATAATTATTATAATAATAACTCTAAGAATTTGCATCGCCACGTTGAAAGTCTCGGGATTAAAGTGCATGTCCCGACGTTGCAGAAATTGGCACTGCTTGGTACAGCTGTTATCCTGCGAAATGTGCTTTCTGCCTGAGGTCATTGACTTGACAAAGAGAAAAATGTACGACAAGAGCTCCAGTACCAATGTTTGCTGCGTAAAGTAGAGAAAAATAATTATGATAATGATAATGGCAACTTTATTTGTGTAATTTTAAATGTACAATTGTAAATCTCGCTACGTATAGGCAATTTACCAAAGCTGCTTGAGATTGGATTATTGAAAAATAGGCTTCTAGTAGAGATAATTATATCATCATGTCTTTGCGTAGGTTTTACACAGTGTAAGAATTTAACAATATTCTAAATTGGCTTTTTAAGTAGAGAGATTCATGTCATTATGTATATTAGGATCGTATTAGGTCTCGTACCGACCTTTTTTTACTTCTCAGTAAAGCTTCTCAAGTGGTGTAGTTTACATTATGCGCTCTATCCTACTCATAATGTGGACAGCATTCCAAAGTTTTATACTGCGACATAATAATGATAATGATAATAATAATACCTTAGGGGAATGTTAATCTGGTATCGCCTCATTTATTTATACAAAATTTACATGCGCAACTTTAACGAATACTCCGCTTTGGGAAAAGAACAGTTGTTTAACTTATCAGGGTTTAAACCGAATACTTCGTTGATATACTTATGATTTACTAAAACGAAAAATATAGATCGTGAGAGTGAAGAATGATCATCGCAGTAAATGTTCCAATTTAAGCAATCGGAAAGAAGAAGCCTGAAAAAAATCAGGGCTTCAACGGGATTCCGCGTTACCGTTGCGTTGCTCTACCAACTGAGCTATGAAGCCACACATTGGGAGCGAGGTGCAAACACAATATAGATCTTGTTTTTGCACGTCGACAGCGTAACACTTCTCACTTCCACGTTTTATTAAAAAAAAAAAGTTTGTATGTGCAAAAATAGAACAAAAACAAAACTTTTGCGTTTATTTTTACTTGTAGCTGGCCGCGGCCGCTACCATTTCTCCTCAGTTTCTCTCCTCCTCTTTCAAATTTATAAGAGACGTGTTTAGGTCTTACAACACTCCTCTTTCTTTAGCAAGAGGACGCCACAGTGTATTCTGATTAGGAAAAAGACTGCGTCATCCAATCAAACCTTTTCAAAAAGCCTATAAAACAGCAGGAAAAAATGCTTTTATTTATTTATTTATTTATTTTAATTCTAGTTGCAGGAAAATAAAATTTCATTAGAGTTCGATGAAGTTTTGTCATTATTATAAATTTTAATTTGTCCCAAAAAAATGCTAATGGCTACATACGTGTTGTACAGGTTGTAAATTTAGCAAGAATATTACCGGGATTGACGAATGGTTTCATAAAGGAATGTTGGCGCAAGTTATATCTTTTCAGCTCAGGATAAAGGTTAAAAATAAAAGCACAATCTAAAAGAAATAAAAAACAAAAACTGAATACCAACACTTCAACAATGTACGATAGTGTCAAGGATAATAATTTCAAAATATTGTACAGTTGTACATGGAGCAGAAAATACTTAAACATTAAAATCAAGTGTTTCTATATTAGACTTGAGGCTAACTATATTTAGCAAGATAAACAAATTTAATTCAATATATTATAGTGGGGGACAATAGGTAACAAGACATACAAAAGATCTAAGTGGGTGTTTTCCGCCGGACCGAAGATTCCTTCGAACTACAAAACTCTTCCTGTCGTAATTAAGAAGAATCTAATAATTGTTATATTTTTCATTCCAAAATTGCTTCGATTTGTCCCCCTCTCCATTTGCCTGCTTATTGGCAAATCCAAGTGGAATATTAAATGACTTCTTCAAATATCTTTTCTTATTGGCCGAGCAATATTTTTTGCTGTTCATACTATATTTTTAGGTTCTAGGTCGGCTATTTTGTTTTAGCAAAACTTGTGAGATTTCCCGCTCTTCCCTACATCTCTACCAAAACAGCTGAGCTAAAGTAACTATCTCCATCCCCTTCCCATCAGGGGGCCTCTCGGTTTACCGTCCCTGATTCTGCAAGAACGCTTTTGCATGCATCAACTTCATTTACTGAAAAACACGCTTAAACGAAAGTAGTAGTAAAACGCTCAACATCGCTTCTCAGCTCGTTTTGTAGCAATATTGCAAAGTAAGTTGTACGTTTTAGTTTCCTCTTTTACCGTATACCTTTAAGATGGGTAAACTCAGTCTTGTGGATACAAATGGATAATGGCTATCAAACTGATAAAAAATATATATATATTTAAATTAGAATAAAATAGAACCAGGTATCAAGTTAGTCATGTCCTCGACCCACCTCACAGTTCTATTTTTATATTTAATGCTATATTTTATATTTGAAAAGAATGTAGTAAATGTCAATTGTCTGTCAGCCGATATACGCCGGAGCTGTTGATTTTAAAGAAAACTTTCCAGGCATGAATGATTGTGAGAATTATTTTCAGCGGCAAGTTACTACAAGCAGCTAATTGAAATAAAAATAAATCAATTAATAGCCAGATAATATTATATATAAAATGAAAATGAAAATGCAGTTAGAAGATACTGATTGGCATGAAAACGATTTTGTTGGCCAATCTTGTTCAATATGGATTAGTGATAAATATTATACGTTTCCTTTTGCGTAAAATTATATGTCTTTGCGCAATCAGGTTCTTTACTTTGATTTCTGAACAATACAAGTAAGCCGTCTGAATTTAAAAGAACACTACTTGTCCTTCAGATAGCTAAGCCAGCAAGCATGGCGTCAGAGTTATGGCTGAAAGCTTTGTCACTGTTAATGGCTATCCTCGTATGTGAACGTAAGTGAACAATTAATGCTTCCTGAATAAGTGAGTCAATTCATAATGATGCTTTATTTGACTTTATGGGCTCTTTTGGGGAACGTAGATGGAATTTAAAAAATAATAATAATAATAAGAAGATTAGTTGTACAAAGGGAATAATGGCGATGAAAACCCCGTGATTACTGAAGAGTCTTACAAAGAAGTTGTATTCATATACCAATGTGGTTTATCTTAAGGTATTAGTAATCACTTCAATCACCACTCTTTTGTAGATTATTTTTTCTTTAACTCGCTATTAGCGAACCGAGATGAGTGGCAGGTGTGTTGTACAAGATGATATATATGAATATTTTTCCGTGTTTTTTTTCAAGAAGACTTCAAGCTAGAAAATCTAGTCTCTGGTACATATTCATGTATTCTTCAGTCACATCATAACATGTTGAAGTTTGAAAACTTCAGTTCTCGTGATTATGAGACATGACGTCATTATTTGGATAAGATCAAGCCACTTTGTATATTATTATTATCTCTTCTGTCACAGTCTTTGCTGGTGTCCTTCTTGCGCATTAGGGGCGCATACCATGCACCCGGAGCATCAGTCACTCAAGAAAAGTCAATCGTTCTGTCCATACACTAAGCACCCTTCTGAGGATTCGCGCAGCTCCCAGCATGCAGATCTTTTGGATTTCTGTCAAAGTAGCTCTCTCTGATACTTTATTTCTTTTATTATTTTATTTTTTTTCTGACTAGTGGAGGGATCCAGTCAGTCACCATGTCCAACGTCACCTAGTATTTGTTTTCAACCTGCAATAAGAGGTTTCTGCAGAGCCTATTTTCGTCGATATTATTTTGATTCAAAAAGTGGCAAGTGCAAAATGTTTATTTATGGAGGTTGCAGTGGAAATCGAAACAACTTTAGAGACAAGAAGAGCTGCGACCAAAGATGTGCAGGTAAAACCGACTGCCATTCAATAGGGCGCTTATAGTTAAAAGCAACCAACGAAACCACATAGGAGTATTTAGGTTTATTTATGTTCCTTAAAAAAAGTAAAATTTGAATTATAACACGAATCATTACTCCATTTCAGTTTCCTCAATATGTTTGTCATTGCACCCCCATAGTGCCTTCGTCAGGTAATATAATATGCCGTTAACATCCACAGCAATATGCCCCTACACTCCTACAACCGCGCCGACAAGACCAAGGCCCAAAATATGCCCGGCTATCTTGCGTGGCCTATGTACCCTTCCTCCAGTTAAAGGACCTTGTAGGGCCCGCAAGAAACGATTTTACTATGATCAACGAACCAATCAGTGCAGGATGTTCATTTATGGTGGCTGCAGGGGAAATGGAAATAACTTTAAAACAAAGAAGAGATGCAGGCAAAGTTGCCCAAGTGAGAATACTGGTTATGATTATGATAATGGTTATCCTTTTGATTAGCATTACGACAACGATTACTTTGATGACGATGATGATGATGATGATGATGATGATATTATTATTATTATTATTATTATTATTATTATTGTTGTTGTTGTTGTTGTTGTTTTGCGTATATCACAGCCTCATTCCTCGATGCCAATTATATCATTTAAAATTATTTAGGCATAAAATCTGACACTTCCAAAAGCAACCTTTGGGGTCGTTCCTTATTTAGTTTATATATACTCAATATTGAAAGCTCTATTTAACAATTATTCCAGGAGGGCGCGTTGGATATGAGATGATAGTAGCCAACGAGGCGCGTAGCGCCGAGTTGGCTATAATCATCTCATATCCAACAAGCGCAAGTGGAATAATTGTTTTATTAAAAACGCCCAAAAAATCTCGCTAGAACAAACCGGAAAAGACAAGGGACTTTCGCTATTCACATGTCACACGTCTATCAAAACTGTCAACGCGCGAACGGACTCGCCTGGACTGCATGAATGATAAATCAAAACATTGATAAACATTAGTTTTTTAAAAACTCATCGGGATTCTAGGATTTTACACAGCAGAACAGCTAAAAAAACCTGGCAGATAATGTGAAGGAAAAGAATTTGTAAGTCACAGCCGTCGAAATTACTGTGAATTTGGATTTTCGGTGCAGTTATAAAAGTAAGAACAACGGAGAAAAACTATTACCTCGGTCGCTTGTTATGAAGTTGTTTGAAGCCACAAGCTGGTTCTGTTCAACGAGAAAAAAAGCTATACTGCCGCCTCGATTGCTCTAGTGAATGGCTGCATAGCCTGTATTTGTAGCTGGTTACTTGTGATTTATATTCTTGATGTCGGATAAACAAGCCACAGTTATCTATCGGCGAAGGGCTTCGCGATCATGAAGAAACAACACTTG